CGTTCTACTATAGAACATGCTAAGTATATTTTATAGCATAGGTTGACGTAGGCTACCTATTGAAAAATGGAGGCCATCGATGAATTACTATGTAGAGGTTTGAAATGTTTATATTTTTAAGAATATTGTTGCTCTTCATGCAAAAGCGATGAATGGATCTTGGACAAAATTGAATGCTCTTTTCAACTATGCCATTTTCAATTGTCAAACGTACCAGTTTATGCAGCAAAACCCGTGTAATTAAGTAGGTAAGTCATGAACAAATGCCATTTTCTTCAGCGATTTGTTCCACCTTGTTTTTGATCAATTAGCTTTTCATAATTTTTCCATGAGAGGCGGTACGTTTCTCTTGACCTGACCTTCAGGTGACATTGACATCCACCCTTATGCATGGGAGCAACATCAAATCACATGTTTGAACGCTTGAAACCACGAAAGGACTGCAAACGCGCCGCTAATGCGAGCCGGCATACACCGAACCGCGATTCTGGCCAAACATGGTCTCGGAAAGTCGGCCAGCTTTGGCCTACTTTCCGACCTTTAGGTCGGAATTTGACCTTGAATTGACCTTAGGTCATTTGGGCCAGGGTCATGAAATTTCTAGGGTAGGTGTAAAATTCATAAACGCGAGGGTACTGAAAGTTGCGTCGCGATCAGCCGCTTTTTACGCGAGTTATTTGTGAAAAAAAAAACTTTAGGGGGTTGCATCAGGCATCAGCCCCTTCCCCCCTGTGCCGCGAGGGTTAAAAATTCTTGTGAGCGAATTCACGTAATGAAGAAGAGTAAAGGCACAATTTACTACAGCAGCCAATAGATGACTTAGAACAGGCACATGGGACTAGTTAAATATTGTCCGACGGAAGCAGGCAACAGATCCGATTGCATATATGCTATGCATATTGCGGAAGGGGCACATTTCGGCCTCGAAAGATACGAATTCTTACGTCATAGAACATATTTCTGTCGTGGTCAATTTGCGCAAAAATTGAGCACCGGGTGATTACCGAGCTATTGTTCTATCCAAATGTTCTGATTCAAACTCGCTCAGGGTTATCGTGCAGGTAATGGGGGCCCGCTCAGCAGAATGTGTATGAAATATGGAGAGATTCTGAAAAATGGGTGGGGGGCCCGCACACTAGGGGGCCCGCTTTGGAGGTGATGACCCCCCCGAAATGAAATCCTGGCTGCGCCACTGCAGTGACGTCACCACAGCCGTCACCAGTGGGCACCGCGTGCCGTCACCAATCGGCGCCATCTTTGACTCAGCCATCACCACCACCGACTCGCTCCTACTCAGGGTGTGACTCGGAGTCAGAGGGACTCGGTTGACTCACCCATCACTCGGCTGACTCCGGATGACTCCCCAGGACACGTGATGAGTCCGTTGACTCCGGGTCACTCTGACGACTCTGTTGACTCCCAATGACTCTTCAGAGCTTGTTGGCTCGTATTGGTACTCGTTCACTCGTACCCGTTCGTCACCCGAGGACCATATAAAGTTATCCTTCACATATACAAAGTGTATTCAAGATCAGTATAGGCTGCAGTGTCTGACAAGTGTAGGACACGCCGATCAGAATGGGCAGCTGGCCCTCAGCTCGGCTGCTCTCCGGTCCGTTCACGTCTGTAAGGCCGCCGTCGGACCCGTCGGACACACACCGCTGACCGTCGGCTGACCGGCCGAGGCCTCTCTGAGCTGCTGCTGACCGCCGCGGGGCCCGTCCCCTCTCAGCCCTCGTGGTACGGACCGATCACCGGGCCGGCGGGCAGGAGACACCCGCACAGCCGGCCAGCCGTGACACATGGGCGGGCGGCGCGGCGCACCGACCGCCGACCACCGAGCGACGGCCCGCCTAGCCGGGAGACGTATAAAAAGCGTCTTAACCCTATTCCTGGCGGGCTCCGCCGGGACAAGAAACTGGCGGGGGGGGGGGCCGATTCGGCCCCCCCTTCAGATCTCAAAAACTACACATCGCAGCGACAAACGGTAAACGGCATCGGATACGCACGGTCAAGATCTACAATTTTTAATAAGGTCATTTTCAGGTCAGGTCAAAGATGACGTCACAGGGGTCGAAAAAGTCAAAATGGCGGCGCTAGATATGGAGAGTTTTTCTCGAATAACTTTCGAATTAGTCAAGATAGGAACAAACTAAGGGCATCATCGTGATCCTCTCGTCAATCCGCATCGAATGATATATATGTTGACCTCGAAAGGTCAAGGTCAAAGGTTGACCTCAGGTCACGTGACCTCGAGGTCATCATGTATATCATTCGATGCGTCTTGACGAGCTGAACACAATGAGACCATCCACGCGTCTGTATCTTGTTCCTGTACGGAGTTATTGGCCAAAACCCTTTGGTGACCTTTGATGACGTCACATGACCTCACAGCTGCCCAACAGCAAAACAGACCTCAAGGTAGTGAAGGTTGATCGTATATGAAGTCATGTATGGTATATGGGGCCATTCCGACCCGTTTTAGTGGTAAAAACAGGGAGTTGATTTTTCCCCCATTGACTTATAATGGGGAGGTCGCGAAACTGACCTGACCTTAGGTCACCGATATCAAAATTCCGAGATATACAAATTGCACATACTGGTACCTTAACTAAAGCCTGAAGAGAAGAAATTGATCGGTCAAAAACTCTAGCTCTGGCGTGATTGCAAACTTTTCTGAGGTAGGGTCACCAAACCGCCTCTGGTGACCTGACCTGAGGTCAGATCAACTCAAAATTTTCAGACATGTTGCGTAGAAGCCTTTTAGGAAAAGTCAGAAAATTTGAGCTTTCTAGCTCAACGCGTTTGGGAGAAATAACCAAAAAACCTCAGGGGGGGGCTCCTGAGCCCCCCCCCCCCGCCAGGAATAGGGTTAACCCGCGAGTTGCTACCGTTCCGTGCTTCTATCCTCAGGATACTGAAATCCTTCTCCTCCACGCCGCAACCCCCCTCCGGGCTGGACAGGCAACTTTATCTCATGCGGGCTGCTCCCTTGGAGCGGCACCGCTGCTCCTGAGGAAGCGCACCCCGTAGCCGGGTGCAGTGAGTGCCTTGGGGCTGGGTGGCCTGTCCTCTGGACGGGCTCAGCCCCGGCGACTCACTAGGGTGCCTGCCCAGACCAATGTCTCCCCCTAATTCCTATCATCCTTCCGGCTCTGCAATGGTCTTGTCGACCGAAAGGGCCTAACCCAACAAAACAAACAAAACAAACAAGCGAGTTGCTGGGGGGAGGGGGGCGTTAAACGCCCCCACTTTTTTTTTGCCGGGCCGTAGCATAAAAACGGCGCGCCGCAGGCGCGCCAAATTTTGGGTACCTGTAGGGAATTGATTGAAGTTTATTGTGACAAAGTTTCAAAAAAAAAATCGGTCGGAAAATTTTTTGAGATATCGAGGTTTTAGTGACGTCATGATTTTTGAATTTTCGACCAAAAACGGCGTATGTTCAAAAAATCATATAAAATCACAGAATAGACATACAGACATGCCGTAAACGCCATTAGACTGCCAATACCATTAACAATCAAATGGCTATCTTCGATTATTGATTATCGTTCTGCATTTTCCAAAATCTTGAACTGAAACTTGACAATTTCTCGTGACTACTTCACGACTATGATACATGCATTTGTTAAATTAAACTTTTTTAGCCAAACACGTACACATATGATAAAATGAATGTCACCATCGTGTTCTACGCCCCAAATTACCCATAAAACATGTGTCACGGGCTGTGAATATCAGTTTTGATTTTCGGGAATATGTGCCTACCCGGTTGACCTGACCTTGACCTTGACCTATGCTTGACTGACCCCTACATGGAGCTGACACTCTTGTAGGCCTACTACGATGGATTGTGCACCATTTTGACAGAGTTTATGACGAGAGGCGCCCATTGCGAAGTCCTGAAGTCCATGCTACTGAAAGGCCGATTTCAGGTGTTTGACCTGACCTTGACCCGACCTGTGACCTCAAAACTCAACTTTAAAGTACTCATCTGAAGCGTCTCGTCGCGCTCTTTCGTTTGCCGCCTCGTGCGTTTCGCTGCGCCTATTGGTTCTCGAGTTATGGGCTGGGGGCGTTTAACGCCCCCCCCCCCCCCAGCAAACGGTGGGTGGCGAAATACCCCAGCAACTGCCGGGTTAACCCGCTAACAGAGCTCATTTTCACTCCCAGGACTCTATTATAGACTCTGGCTGACTTCGCTGGCTCCGGAGGACTCCTCGACACCTATGTTCACTCCCATGAAATCCGTTGACTCTGGATGACTCCCCATGACTCTGTATGACTCAGTAGACTCGTCGTGAGTCAATGTCGGTACGGACCGGAGCTGTAACAAACAACAAACACAACGGAGTCACAACAAACACACAACAAACACCATAGATGATATGTGAGACACACACACTACACAGCAAACGGAGTCGCCATAAATAACAAACAACATCGACGTGACAAACAACACAGACCGGTTTATCGTCAATATATATTGCTCCACGGTCCACTGTGCACTGTCCATTACTTATCACTGTACCGGCCATCTGACAATGTGTGTAGTAGACACCACCAGAAGAGGGGGACCCAGCTGTGAGGTCTGGGCAGAGCAACAGGAGCAGCGGGCAGAGGAGGGGAGCACAGAGCCGCAGACAGAGCACGTCAGCGACACTAGCGCTGCCTACCGGTTTGGTCCGGAACCTGTGGTTGTCGAGTACACCGCATGGAGAGGAGAATGGGACGAGAGGTTAGTGATCTCCTGAATACCACCCCCACTGGCGGATACAGTCGCCACCGCGACTAAGATGATGCTGTCGGAGAACCCGTGCGTCCTCTGGACACTGCAGCAGAGCCGACACCTGACCACGTCGTCATTAGAAGCGGAAACAGCGGTACAGGTGACGTCACATGCCAGGCTCCTGCAACACACTCAAATCTAGTGAATAATACAGTGCAATACTTACGTGTGGCTCTGTGTGGCTATTAGCATGACCCGCAGTCCGCCACGTGGAGGCTGCCACATCGGACTGCGTCTCTGTTATCGCCCGAGACCCCTCAGGTAGTGCAGAGCCCACCATGTCCTGAGGGAAGACACGGCGGCCATCCGGCCCCGAGTAGCACTCGGTGTGTGCTACTCGCAGCCGATTGGTGGCGGCACAAACGGCCGTTGGGTGAGTCAGCTCTCCAAGCACGGCGGAGGCAGGCTTGTATAGCACTCATCTGTCGTGGATGGCCTACACCAGCTGATCGTGATGGCTGAAAATATACCGGTGGGTCAGGGCACTGTCGTACAACGACTGGCGTTTTATCATATATTTTTCCATAATATGTCATTGAATAGATTGGTTTACATTCTGATAAATCATAATGTATGCTCGAGCTGGGAAGGTGACCCAAGCCAGCTCCGATAACATGTGCACATGTCAGTTTTCCATTTGCTGGCCCACGTACATCTGTCTGCCCGCGGCTGAACACTGGCTCCTTCAGAGAGACGGACACCCGACCGAGCGGCTGTCCCCGGGCTCTGGTCACCGTCATGGAGACAGCTGGCCGCGCGGGGAGCTGGAGACGCCACCAGCGGAAGGAAAACGCGTCATCACGGGACTGGTAATGCAATAATTATGAGTCTGGTGTCATTTGTGAATGCTGCTAACTACAAATCGCCTCGTATCAAGTATATTCACAAACGTTGGGACATAAGCAGGTATGCATCAATTGCATCACACAAGAAGCGTCCCCCCAGACTAACCTGTCTCGGGAGGCCTCTGATCCTGTGACGGGCGAGTGTGCGGCAGCTGAAATGCCGGACTGCCGGATTGGCTCCGGCGGTCGACGGCTCAGCTGCGCCAGAGCCGCACACCCGCCTCCGTCAACCTGCCGGTGCAGTAAATGGACAGGTGATTATTCCAGCTGATTTATGTATGACGTCATATGTAAGTTACTAGTTTTACTTTGATTAGCACCATACACTACTGTATTACTTATACTACCAGTATAACGCCTTTTGGGGGCGACTAACGGAGCGAGCGAGAGGGTGAGCCTTGCACGTACGAAATTTCGACGGGGCACCTCCAGGCTCCAACTGACTTGTGCACGGCACCCTACTAACCGGTCTCTAGCGATGTGCCAAATTTGAGCACAATCAGCCCAGCCGTTCTCGAGATCTGAAAGCGGCACCCTGCACGTGCGCACGTGCAAAATGGGTCCCATCTGACTTTTGCGCGGCCCCCTTATAACTGGTCCCTAACCGTGTACCAAATTTGAGCGCCATCGGTCCAGCTGTTCTCGAGATCTGGAAACGACCCCTGCACGTGCGCACGTCCAGCAGCACCCCAACTCTGGCACATGGATATGGATTGCCTAGCGAGTGCCTACCTACATGCCAACTTTCAGCGCAATCGGCGCTGAAAGTTGGCGATTGCGCCGATTGTTAGATACGATTGCGCCGATGCTACGCTCGCTTCGCTCGCCCCGTAACTAGTTACTGTATTGCTGACTACTGTACATATTATCGAGATATAGTAGTCTAGGTTGGCATGTAACAAAAACAACTTTATAAAAATACACTTTATAAAAATACGCAATACATAATGCAAAGGACTACACAAAAATACCAAAATACATATTTAAAATAAAAATATACGGGACACGGGAATAGAGACGCATGGGACATTGACCCAGGAAAATATGTTCATATCAATAAGCAGATTCCGCTGGTGAACTTACGCCCGCTGGTGGTGGGCGCGGCCCTGAGGCCGGCGGTGCTGGTGGCGGTGCTGCCAATGCTGGGACGGGAGCTGAAAGACAAGAGATGAATATCTAGCACCTAGCTAGTAGCTATTGATCTTTGATTGTTGAATGGTCAGTTACAGCTTAGTGGTGCGCCAAAAATCGCATATCCATGTGATTCGTTATCTGTCACACAAATATGTTTTGAGTAATGTACAAAGTACAGGACGTATATAAGATATCCTCCCGCGCCCTGATGGGGGGGGGGGCATTTTGGCCCCCTGTGGTTTTTCTTGAATAGCAAAAAACGGCGGCGCGCAGCGCCGCCAAGTTTTCAGTATCTTCCCGGGCATCAATTTAACACCTTCACACGAAATTTCAAGTCACAGGTCACCTTGGGTCAGGAATTATTGAGGTCAAACTGAGGTCATGTTCGAGCAAAAATGAGCAAAAAACATGACATCTTGAAACGCTCACCAAATCTACAGTTTAAAAGTAATTTTAAAGTTCTTTATGTGGTCGTGTAGAAAAAAGACAGCGCTACAAAACTACAATCTCGAATTTTCACAATTTTGGAATTTTGACCCCAAAAAATAAAAAAAAATATTTTTTTTAGACTTTTTTTTCCAATTTCCCTTTTTTAATTTCGAAAAACCGGAATATATATGACAGTCACTGTGCTCTTATATCTACATATTGAATTTCAGATCGATACCTCTTTTTTTGGCGAAGTTATAGCGAAAAAACCTGTTCAAAATTGATGACGTCAAATTTTCAAACTCAATTTTTAGCAATTCCAGACCACGTATCGCAAAACGAAGACCACTATTAGACTCCCCGTGAGGAGATGCATCGAATCGATACCCATTTTATGAAAAATATTAAGTTTAAAATTTGACCTTATTTGACCTGACCTTGACCTGACCTTCACCAGAACATAACCTAAACTGGCCCTAAAGGCTGTCTGACCCACATAATCGAATTTGTCATGTAAAATGGACCATAAAACATGCATCACATGATATTTTCATATTTTGACCCTCGGTGACCTGACCTCTGTGACCTGACCTGGTATCAGTGACCTCAGATAGCAAAATATGTGTTTTATGGACAATTCCTCATCGATGATTTTCAATGACATGCATTTTACTCGATTTTACAACGCATTTCTTGAAGTGTCTGTAAACGGCGAAAATTCGACCTTTGACCTGACCTGTGACTTCAACGGTTTGATCGAGGTCAATGAAATTGAGTCACAAGGTAGTCCCCCGTTGGGGCTATCCAACGCCGTTTGCCGCTTGTCGCTATGTTGCGTGGTTCTCGAGATCTTAGGGGGCCAAAATGCCCTCCCCCCCATCAGACCGCGTTGCTCGGCAGACCCCATCAGGGCGCGGGATAATCAAGATCCTATCTTTGAATCAATATTGGAAATGCAGAAGAGTGAAGCTTATGCCAAACGCTCAATAGGATCTTATTTAATTTTGAACTAAAACAGTCAAACTGCGCCACAAACGACTGAACAGAGCGTCACATTGGTCTCTGACCACCAGAGCGGTGTGTTGTATTTCACCGTCTCAGCTGCGCCGCCGCCGCTCACCCGTCTCAGCCGGTCGGAAACGGGAAGCTGAAATTGAGTGCCGCCATCAAAAATATATAGAGACAATACAAAGGGCTAACCGGTAAATGATGAAAAAAACATACACCTCCCATGAAGTGTAACTACAAAGGTTGAATCACAAATATGTATCACACAAGAAGCGTCGACCCAACTAACCTGTCTGGGGAGGCCTCTGATTCTGTGACGGGCGAGTGTGCGGCAGCTGAAATGCCGGACTGCCGGATTGGCTCCGGCGGTCGACGGCTCAGCTGCGCCAGAGCCGCACACCCGCCTCCGTCAACCTGTCGGTGTAGTAAATGGACAAAATATTATTCAAGCTAATTTATGTATGATGTTCCTAGTTTCATGACTAGTCACAATTATTTAGAATGAACGTAAGGTGGACTTGATAAGGCACAAAACTTGAAAGGGACACGGGAAACAGGACACGGGAACGGAACTCGGGAACAGGACAAGATAACCGGACAATTTGTAAAATCAATAAGCAGATTCCGCTGGTGAACTCACGCCCGCTGGTGGTGGGCTTGGTCCTGAGGCCGGCGGTGCTGGTGGCGGTGCTGTCAATACTGACTGAAAGACGATCTGAAAGACGATAGATGTATTACCAGCACCTAGACAATTGATTTGTGTTTAGTGGCATCGTGTTTATGTGCAAAAAAAGTCGCATACGTCAGAATATTGTAATTCGTCACTTTTTACAAATGTCTTTTATTAACCCTCGCCCTGGCAGGGCATTTTTCATAACACGGCCTGGCAGGAAGGGGGGGGGGTCGATGCGACCCCCCCCTCGCGATTGGCTCCTATGGCACCTAGAAACACCAAATTTGGTAGGTAGGTGGGCCCCCAGGAGCTCTCACCTCTGCGCAAATTTGATTGCTCTAGGTCAAAATTTAGGGGGGGTTTGGGGGGTATAAATGTAAAAATTTCGCTAAAAAAAGGTCAAAAGTTTTTCGCTTTTAACCCGCGCGGGGCTGGGGTCTCCAGCCGAACGCGCGGGGCTGGGGGGGGGGTAAATTTTACCCCCCCCCTGTTATCTCCCGAACTAATGGTCCGATTTGGAAAATTCAAACGCTAATCGAAAGCTCTCATCACGAACTACTAAAAACATGTACTTATTTTAAAGTTTGAGGTCAAGGTCAAGGTCAGGTCAAGGGTACAAATTGCAAGTTTCTACAGTATCGGCCTTGAACCGTAGTTGCCGAAGAATGGAGTCATGGACTGAGACTGATCGCCCAAAACGTGTTCTTAGGCTACCAAGACAATATTCGTTGCATACAATATCATTCAGAGGTCAAGGTCAAGGTCAGGTCAGGTCAGGTCAGGTCACCAAAAAAACAAAATATAGAAAAGGGCATGTGCGACACATGTTTTATGGGTCATTTTACTCATAGAATTCAATAGGCACACTCAAAAAGTGATATGGACCACCTCTGGATGAATTTCAGGTCGTGGTCAGGTCAAGGTCAGGTCAAGTGAGGTCAAATTTTGAAGTTGGTTGTTAATGCCTAAAAAGGTGTCTATCTGATGTAGTTTTTCACGGCGAATCGAATGGTGCTATTTTTGTTTCCGTACGAAGTCTAGAACTTCCAAAAATGTCATTTTTCAAAAAAAAATTGTGTGTCGTGACGTCATAAAATTTTGAATAACTCCCACATTTTTGAACCGATTCTTCTAAAATTTGGTATGTAGGTGCACATAGACCACTTCTCTGACATATATTCCGGTTTTTTGATAGACTCAAAATTTTGGATTTTATAATGATTTTCCGAAAAAGTCAGTTTTTTGAAAAAAAATTTAGGCCAAAATCCAAAATTTTCAAAAAACCGAGATAGCCATTTGATAGACAAAGTAAAATTACGTATAACCTTTTTTTGTTACGTCTTGATTCCTTTAAAAATGAAGATGTTAGCGGCGTTTGAACTTTTGCCGTTTTTGAGGCGAAAATGGCGAACATGACGTCACTAAAACGTCAATTTCTCAAAAATTTTCCGACGGATTTCGCTCAAATTTTCAGGGAACGTGTCAAATTGATGTAAGAAAAGGTACTGAAAGTTTGGCGGCGCTGCGCGCCGCCGTTTTGAGATATCGCAAAAATTCGCGAGGGGGTAAAATTTACCCCCCCCAGCCCCGCGCAGGTTAACTTTTGATCTAATTAAGATACAGCAAAACGAAAAGCACCAGTGAACTCAGCACGTCAAGGCGCGTCGAATGATATACTTTTTTGCTTGCTTAAATGTACTTAAAGTTTTTTCTTAAATTTTAAGTAAACTTAAATTAATAAATTAAGTTAAAATTAACCAAATTGCATCATATCGCATATCATTCGATTCGGCTGATCACCAGGAACACAATGATACCATTTTTTAAGCTCTAGCGTCATTATGTGCCAAGTTATTGGCAAAAACGTCATTTGACCTCAGTTGACCTCATTTGACCTGACCCATGGATAAGTACACCAAACAAAGAAGCACCAAGTGACCTGCTGTTAAGTACTGTGGTTTCAAAGCACAAAAGTGATAGAACGAAGCGGATATCTCCAGTATTTTCCGAATTTATTATTTTCCCGTAGGCTTAACATTACGACGTAATGACCTCTAACTGACCTCAGGTCAGTGACCTCAAAAAACAACCCGAACTATATGCTATACAACTCGGTGAACTTAGCACATCCTGAAAGTTTGAAGGAAATCAGTGCAAAACTGTGAGTTGGACGGGTGAAAAAAGAAAATTGAAATTTGACCATGACCTTGTACCGGTTTTTCTGACCTGGTGACCTGACCCAAGGTCACCCGGACCTGATATTTTCAGGTCATATGTAAAAAGGTTGCCCCATAGGCTGCGCAAAATTTGGCGGCGCTGCGCGCCACCGTTTTTACGCTATCTTCGAAAAACCGTAGGGGGGTCGCATCGACCCCCCCCCCCCCTGCCAGGGCGAGGGTTAATCAATTTTCTACAGCACGTCTACTTGATATCCTTCTCAATATTCTATATACGACTGGATACTCGATATGCAGAAGAATAAAGCGTATGCCAAACGTCATGTTACTCCGCGCCCCGTAGGGGGCCGAAACGGCCCCCCTGTCCTTTCCCGTCGATATCTCCTAAACGGCTGGAGATATCGCCACTAAACTTTTAGGACCCCTCCGAACATCAATTTTACACATTGTGACCAAAAATTTTTTAAGAGGCTATGATAGGTTGGCCACAAATGACGTCAGAATGACGTCATGTTGTTATTTTCGACCGAAAAAAGACCTTCGCGAGAAGACCTGTCAGGCCTACAGCTTTGAAGATACAGAAAAATGATTAAAATATAAAAGGTGTAGAAACAACAGGGCTAAAACACTGCTATCTCAGATTTTTGAAATTGTTGAGTTCTGACCCCCAAAATCAAAA